TTTTTTTTCAATACTTTAATAAAAATAGTCCTGAAATTTTTCAGGTTTCAGGTCAGGTCAGGTCAAACAGACAACCTGATATAACCTGACCTGACCTGACCTGAAAAAAAATTTCAGGTCAGGTTTATCAATTAACCTGACCTGACCTGACCCATTCGGAGCTCTAGACTACCACTATGAAACTTAAAAAATTTTTCAACGTTAGTTTCCTTTCACGACACAATAATAAAACAAAAACAGATTATCAAACTAACTCTCTAAACTGACTGTCTTGCCGCTCAACCACGCTGTTTATATAGGAGGTCCTAGGAACCTGGGTTCATAGGCTCAGACGAGAATCCACAGCAAGTAAATAGTCCTGGTAAAACCTTAAAATGTTATATATTAAATTCTTTTTTAATGATTATGATAAATTGTTGCATTATAACAATAATGACAGATCATAGTCTAGCTATAATCTTACAAAAATTGAGTTCTCTCGAGAAGACTGTTCAAGAAATTAAAGGAGAGGTAGAGAATAATTTGAAGGAGTTAAAAGATGTCAAAGACAAAGTAGAAAAGCTCAATGAGAAAGTAAAAAAGCTCGATGAGAAAGTAAAAAAGCTCGATGAGAAAGTAAAAAAGCTCGATAAGAGAATAGAAAAGCTCGATGAGAAAGTAGAAAAATTGCGAACAGAAAATGGTCATACTTTTAAAATGATAGCTAGAAATGAGATTGCTAAAAAACATGGACAACATTATTCGGAAGGTTTCGTAGTCTTTGATGTAAATGGTCTCGTTAGGTTATCCACACCAAAAGAAAAACTTTCGTCCAAAGAATTGGAATATGATAACCAGGTTTCTATTTTAGAACATAGAACGAATAAGATAGCAAACCACATTTTTGTGAGTGATGACTTGTAATTATTGTTTCTCCTGAAATAATCACGCACTTTCGGAGTTTAGTTTTTATAATAATGTTTATTTTTCTGATAGGAAATGAAGTTAATTGATAAGTTTGAGAAAAATCTCAAAAGGGCTAGAGAAGTGTATCCAAATTCAAATTGGGATAATCCTTATTCTCGTGCGGACAAACTCATAAAAGAAGTTAAGGAAAGAAAAGGTAGAGTAATAGATGTTATCATTCATGAACAAGATAGTACCATCATGGGATAGACAAAAATTTCGTGATTATGGTGGCTACAATCTTACAAAAATATCGGATAGAGAAACTAACATATTTGTCAACGGTTAGGAAGTAAAGAACGACGCTCTTTTTTAATCCATGAACCTGGGTTCACGATCATGCTTTTTTCTTCTATGGTAATGAGTTTACAAAGCGCCATAAAATACAAACAAGTACCATTTGTAGAAAAACTGGAAATAGATGAATGAGGACTGTTAACACCTTTGACATCAAATGGCGAAATTGAAACGTTTAACATTGAGATTGGAGAGATAAAAACGTCTGATAGCACAGATATGGTAACCAAAGGATATCGTCAGTTATGGTTACGTTTAGCGGTCATCGGTTATGCTCTAAGTATTATCGATCCAAAACTAAAGTGTAACTTGATAGGTAATTTATATACACCTAAAATAGATAAGACCTTTAATTCGCAATATGATGATGGGTTTGACTTTGTGAAGAAAAAAAAGGGTTACAACTATTATATAAATCACATCCCTATCTAATGTTTCCGTTTATTGTTGATGTATAACTGTTATTTTAAGTAATAAAAATATTCGATTCTGTAAAACAATTAATAGATATCCTGAAGCTGTTATACATAGCGATAATGTAGTTTTTGTAAAGCCACTTTTAATACGGCAACAATTTTTCGTATTCAAATGATATTTCACAAAATAAAATACGTAAATAGTTTTGCTCATCACTAGATATTAATTCGAAAGTTACTACATTAACGCTCAAGAGCACATGACATAGGACCCTTGGGTATCGATGTCACGTTTAATGTCTGTTGTCCACTAATAATCTGTCCCGTGTGGTCATATGATACACTGAAAAAGTTCAAGCGGAATATGACATAACAACTGCGAAAAGGAATATAGTGGACAATATACCGTAGGTGATAACGTACAACGGATATCGCCCACAGAGAAGAATATAAGTGGACAACAATTGTTAGCCAAAAACCACGCTCAATTGCCTTGTAATATTATAATTAACCGAAACAATAAAATGTTTGCAACACTCATCTTATTTTTATGTTCTTCAAAGTTAACCATGGCTTTTCATTTTATTCACAGTTATTACTGTCCGCTCTGATAGATGATCTTATCGATAACATCATTTATACGCTTAGCATACTAAACTTCACCATGTTATTCTTAATCATTCAGAATGGATTCTTTAATTATGGATATATGCTTAGGTACATATGAGGTTGTATTAATATCGGGATAAAAAGTATCCAATAAGTAATTTATATCTACGTGTTTTCCAGATGACACAAAAACCCTCATGTTTGTGAACAATTGTATTCTCCCCATATTTTGGTGGTAAGCATAGTCTTCCCATATTTTTTAGATAAATACACCCTTGTATAGTTATGATTTTTTGTGTGTTAAAAGTTACGTGCTGAGACGGTGAACTCAGTTCAGGTATTACTGTGCCTGTTAACCAGAGAACATTTTCATGTGATAATCGTAGAGGCTATGATCAGGTTTCATTTTTTCCCTTAGATATAACCTACAAATCTCTATCCATTATTTATCCACAAACGTAGATGAACATGATTAACTGTACGTAAGTGGAATAAGTTTGTTAGTGTAGATAGCTTTTTTAATCCCAGAGTATCGTTAACTATCTTGCAGATATGATGAAACAATGAATATATAATCGAGTCTTGATGGAACTGAAAGTGTTTTGCTTTTGACGACAATTGAACCAAACATTAACGATATTCTTCCCTTTATTCTCATATGTTTCCAACGCAGGTAAAGCCACTCTGTCATATGATGTTTTAACGATTGCGTGCTTACAGAAATATATGGATTAGCTGAGATTCTGTGTATATGTGTCCCTCCAGAACTAAATAACAATGAACGAAGTACAACAGGTACTGATGTACTCGATACAAAAGACTTGATGTTGTTGCCAATACGGGATCCTTCAAAAGTTAGGCTACTTTTATCTTCATCATGATGGCGTATTTGTATCTCCATATCGTTAACAGATATTTTATTATTACCTTAAATAGCTAGCTCTATACCACATGATGTGCCGGTTCCTTGTATTCTAATCGTCGTGGACATCATCCCCATTATCTGTCTATTTTTATCCATCGATTCTGTGTGCGAAGACAAGTTTCTTCCTCCCTTCACTTCGTGAGCATAGCACGGGACTAGGCTCTGTATTACAGTGTACTAATTCCTTTAGGTGAAATTCTTGCAGGTAACTACGGGACTCCATGGCACTTCTCATAGGACTGTAAGTTGATGAATGTGGACAAGAAGAGAGATTACTTGTTTTTGCATCGTCTGTGAATAATGGAATGACAGAAATACCAGCATACTCGTTACCATCACACTTCGGGTTATTGGCAAATTCTGGGCGTTGTCCACGAGGTGAATGACTTGGTTGTGGCACTTCTTTGTTCTCCTTTCCTTTCGACCATGACTCGCTTAGGGGCAATGAACACGAATTATTAGTATCTCCATTGACAGTTGTGTTAGGTTTCAATTCACCTTTAGTGTTAGAAGTAAAGCTCCGAATGGGTCGGTTTGGTCCAGATTATAGATGGTTCGGATTAGAGCCGAAATCCGTAAGAACTGAACCGAAAAACTGGCGGTTCAGTTCGGTTTAATCCGATTTTTATAAAAATGCGAAAAATCGAATAGCTGGTCATCTAGTGATCGTACAAAGTCGAGCCATATATCATTGGATTCGTCTCGACGAAACGCGTCGAATGGTGGTAAGATCATATCTCTAGCATCGATAGATCACACGTTAGCCTACGCTAAATGATTTATAAATAATTGGAATTAACAAGCTATCTATCGGTGCTAGAGACATGATCTTAGCACCATTCGACGCGTCTCGTCGAGACGAATCCAATGATATATGGTTGGACTTTGTACGATCACTAGATGGCCGGCTATTCGATTTTTCGCATTTTTATAAAAAATTGGATTAAACCGAACCGAACCGCCAGTTTTTCGGTTCTAATACCCGAACCGAACCTAACCGAATTTTGAGCCGGTTTTGGATCGGTTCCCCGGTTTAGCCCGAACCGTTCAGAGCTTTAGTTAGAAGAATGTCCATTAATACTTGCTACGAAAGAAGCAATACATTCCGAATAGTCGGGGCGAGCTAGCATTTCTCGCAGAGCATCATTCATGACAACAGGTAAAAACGCAGACTCTAGGACCCCAGATATCTCCAAAACAGGTCATAAGTCACACTTTCGGCAGATTGGCCCATTTTTCAGGGCTCAAAAAATTGTTTTTTGTAAATATCTCGGCATCCAGTGGTCCAATTTTGATGAACTTTTTTTTAAATTGTAGAGCTAAATGAGGGCTACAAAATAAAAAAATGTTCATTAAAATTAAATTACTGGATGCTGAGATATTTACAAAAAACGATTTTTTGAGTTTTAGCAAAAAGGGGTGTTTTTGGCCAAAAGTCCATTATGACCTTTATATTAGATATCCGGGGTCCTCAGACTCTTGATTGATATGAATTTGTTTATTTTGGAATTTATTTTCGACTCTGTCAATACATGCTCTGAAATATTTTTCGAACAAACCATCGTGATAACCCTCTTCGGAAATGACAAGAAAGTCTTCAGGCTTAAGGTTCTCGGCACCGTATTTCTCTACGAGTTCAGCGTTAAACCTTTCACAGATGAATCTATATTAGCACGATTCCTGGCATGGTACTCAGCGTCTGTCCTTGCAAGATATTGGTCGATCATCTCCTGTTCTTTGGCAGTAGGAGTGTAAAAATCAAACTCAGCCATTTCTTTTTTATATAGGGGCTTATGTTTAAAATGATAATTTTTATTTTCATGTACACCAGCATTCAAGGATTGTTTTTCATCTGTTACAGAATAAAAGTATTCGACCATATCTTTTTTATATGATAACCCCTGTTCAAATCGATAGATATGCATCAGCGCTACATTTCTAAGTGCTACGTATCCCTCAAAGAGGCGAAAGTAATACAGAATATAAGCAGAGGTTTTTACTCAGATGATACGAAGTAGATGACATAAACCGGATATTAGCATGAACGTGTTTTACCTGGCTATGTGGCACAATTCTTAGTTACAACGACACATATTCTGTTACAAAAAATACATTTATGAAACAAAGATAAAATCAAACTTCATTACCCAACTATATGCAATGCAACAAAGAAAATACATCCATCATTACGAAAAAAATATATCAACCTTATTACAAAAAAAAATATACAGACCGTAACTAATATACACATCACTGTTACAAAAAAATATGTACAGAAATTGTTACCAGTGGCCATGCAACAACATATACTTCATCACTACAAAAGATATACTTTAAGCTCGTAATATCATCAGGAAGTTACAGGAAAAATGTTTATTACATGTACATTTTTGTAGATCATGTATATTATAATATTCATTATTTTAAATGAACATGTAATATTTAACATTAATGAGCATCATCAATGAGATTTTTATCATGATGTGCAGCATTAAATAATGATAATTCAATATTTATCAAATTTATAATTTTTTATATTAGCGCACTAGTCATGATCTACGATTAGACATTGGTCAACTGAAATAGTGCACTAATTAAAACATCACGCGTTACGCATATTAAAAGTTTAAAAAAGGATCATCATCATCTTTTTTTAAACTTTTCATTTTTCATCCTTCCCCTATCGTCCTTCCTTTCCCCCCTTCCCTTCCCTTATCTTCCTTTCCTTTCCTTTTGTCCCTCCCTCCCTTTCGTCCTTCCCTTCCCCCTTTTCTCACGCCTCTTTTTCTTGAAAGTAATGTAAGTTTCATTTCGAAACTTACATATTTTTTTTTAATTTATTTTTTTTTAATTTTCTTTTTTTTTAATTTAAGAAACAACTTAACATTTCTTATTGTTATTTTTTTGTAGGACGCGCACTAGGAGGACGCCGGCTTGAATACTACGAAACCGGACTTTAGGTAGTGAGAAATGGGAAAGGAGGTCTCTTATACACATCTAGATGTGTATATGAGACAGATGCTAGAGACATGATCTT